GAGATGGGGATGGAGATGGGGATGGGGATGAAATGGATGGGGATGGGATCAGAATGGGGATTGGGATGAGATGGGGTGGGATGGGATGGAATGGAATGGGATGAGATGGCTTCTGCAGTAGCAAGGGGAAGGACCCCATCATTTCAAACCACCTATCTTTGACAGAACGTCATATTTGTAGGGTTTTACTCTATTCTTTTTCAGATTACAGCGTGTTCAATGCCCAGCAAGCGCAGGATGAAATGGATACAAAGTCCCTTGATGATATGGAGCAGAGCCTCCTGATGCTGTCGGAGACGAAGGCGCCGGCCATGAGCAATGCAGCGCTCTGGAAGAAGCAGGTTTCCACCATAGCTAAAGTTCACTTCCTCAGTCTCAAGCGGGAAAATAAATGTGTGAGAGTTATGTGAGTACTGAGGCTTTCTCACTTCTATACAAAACTCCCAAAACCTGTTTGAATTGTACCAGAGAAAAGGCAGGATGTGATTATTTTTTTTCCCTATAGTTACACTTCAGCAGTAACAATGATTACTGTTGAATATGTGCTTTGTGGGGGCAAGGGAGATGTTTTAATAGCATGCACATGAACTGGGTTGGCATTTTGCTGAATTTTAATAAAACCCAGTTTTTTCTTTCTTCCAGGTTGTTGCTTTTTCTGATTTTTCTCGTCGTTCAGATTCTGTTGTTTTTCATACACCACATCATCAAAAATTCGGTGGCTGCTATCAGACTTTCCCCAGATTTGTACTTGCTGAAGCCCGGGGAGACCTCTCACAAGTACAGGAGCCGTCTCCTGCTGCAGAACTCCACAGGTAGGAGAGCAGCGATGCTCCATGGAGGTGGCTCCTGTCTCCACCTCTCTCTTTAGCATAGCATCTCAGTGGTGTGTGCTACTTTTGGGGCTGGGAACAGAACTTTTCCCTTGACATTAACCCAAGTGACAAGTTTCCAAACACCCAGAGATGATAGAGGGTGAGAGTCTTTCGTGCCATAGGGTTTGGTTCAGATCTTCCTCCTCCCATGTCTGCTGGCTTTGTGCTTGCTGTGACCCATGTGAAGGAGCTCTATAGCTGCTTATATTTAATCAATATTAAAATCCTGCTACAAAGCATTGTGGAAAATGCCTTTTTATTTCAACTTAGGATGTTTTAAAAGTGCATAGCAGTGATCTGGGCAGTAAAATGAGCATCTGTCAGGAATTCCAGCTTCATACAACTTACTTTGCCTGGACATCGTATCAAAATGCTGCTGATTTCCTTCCTCTTACCTAATTCTCTGTTTAACAAACTTTGAGTATCCAGAGAATGCTTGTTGGCATCTCTGCCATTTGACTCACATAAATTAACTGAAGAATATAACCAAGAAATCATCCTGAATGCTTTGGGCACTCTTAGGTGGGAAGCCAAAATAAAACCATTCATGTTCAGAACAGCAGAGGACTCTTTGGTGGGCATGCGTATGGAAATGGTGATCTTTCATCATAGGGTTGTATCGGTGAGAAAACACATCACTGATTATGTGTATAATAGTCTAAGGTGGTGATGAGTAATCCCGTTGCTTCTCTGTCTTCCCCCAGAATCGGCTATCGAGGACATCGTCCGCTCTCTCGGGAGCATGAACGTCCTCCTGGAGATGTTCAATGACAGCGACTACGTCTCGGCCGCACCTCACAGCGCAGGTTTAAACGTGTTTGACCTCGAATCCAGCCAGGTAGGATGGGCAGATCACCTCGCTCGTGTCCCAAATTGCAGACAAGCAGCTGGGGAGGGGCTGGCTTTGTCACACTCTTGCCTGAAAGGCACTTACTGAGTCATGGAATCAAATAATATAATATGATATCATATGATATGTTGTGATATGATATGATATGGCATGATATATCATATGATATGATATGATATATGATATATTATATGTAATGTAATGCAATGCAATATAATGTAATGTAAAGTAATGTAATATGTAATATAATAATTATAATGTAATGTAATATGTAATATAATAATTGTAATGTAATGTAATATAATGTAATATAATATGTAGTATTCCTTATACAAGAGGACTTGTATTAACAGAATGGAAGTGTTAGCAAGATAGCTGTTCTTCCAGAATGATAATTACGGTAGGCTAATAAAACATCCATCCCCCTTTCTTCCCCACAAGGGTACAAAAAGCCAAGAGAAGTATTTCACTTCACGAGAGACCTGGCATAGGACTTTATAGTTTTTTAACTTATTCTGGTTGAATTGTACCATTTGACAGAAGTGTAACTCCATGGTGCTCTCATGTGTAAAGAAAAACGAGTTTCTTGGGTTGCAAGTGTTCATTTCAGTATGGCCACTGAAGGAGCGTCGGAAAGATTTGAACATTGCGGTCGTATTTAATCTGCGACAAAGAAGCTGCTTTGCAGTCTGCCAGCTCTGCCTCTTGTTCCCATTTTTATTCACAGCAAACCGTTAATTTTACCGTGACAAGGCAGCCTTTAGCTAGTGTAAATTTTTGCCTGTCTGGGTTTTAAATGCATTAGCAAGAACATAGGAGCGCGGGTCGCTGTGTGTTTTGATTTTCAGACTGTAATTGTCTGGAGCATCATTTCTCCTAGCGTCACACTGGCATAAAACATTCTGGGAATTTATTCCAAGTAATTTCTTGCCTGTGAGCATGACTGTGTTCCTAAATCAGGTTATGAGTAGCCCAGAGCTTCCTGCAAAGTATTCTGTATTATGCAAAGATTTTTGGGGTTTAATGAAGCCCATAGGAGACCTCTCCCTGAGTATTACCTTTGGTGCCGAAGCATTAACACAGCAAACGCTTTCCTTTCCAGAACTATGTTTTCATGGTCGTATTCAACAGTACCATGGTGCATTCCCTGCCAGTTTTGATGAACATTGTCAGCAATCTGCTGCTGCGCAATTTAAACGTGACGGAGAGCATTCAGATCTGGAGCAACCCCTTCGTACAGGTGAGCTGTGTGGCAGAAATCGCCCTTAAACACGAGGTGCGTGGCAAAGCATCCCTGGGATGACAGGATTTTGCTCTGCAGCTTGTGGAAATGGAGGAAAAAGGCGCTTGGAGAGAGCTTCCATGGGTGTTTTCCTTCATGTTGCAGCTCAGATGATCTTGAGATATGCAGAATATATGTTTTAGCGTTTAGTTATGGTCCAGTTCTAAATGCATTTTTGTGGTCACAGCCATTCTGATGCTGCCGTGGTTTAGGGCTGGGCCGGCCACTAAACTCTGGCCAGATGCTCTCTGTTAACCCCTCTCCCCTCCCCAGAAGGGAAGAGAAAAGAGAAGAAGGGAGAGAGACTTCACGGGTTGGAAAATAAAAGTAACAGGTTTAGTGAAACAATACTAATGATACTACAGGATAATAATGTAAATAGGAAAACAATGAAATATCTACAGATATGTACAAATATATCTACAAAACCAATATAAAATCCTCCCCCAATGACGATGGTGTCCCCAGAGGCTCTGGGAGCACTGGAAAAGTCCCAGTCTGGACCCAGCAGCAGTGGGAGCTGATGCAGGAACACAGGGCTCAGGATCAGAGGCAGCCGAAGCAGCAGGGTCTGCTGGGCCTTGGGCCATTGCAGGGGTGGAGAGGGAAGGAAGGGTCCAAGATGGAAGAGTTGAGACCCTCGTGATCCCTCAGCTTTACACTGAGTGTGGCGTGTTGGGATGCAATACCTCGTTGGGCAGGTTTGGGTCCACTCCCCCCCCATAGGTGCAGACACAGCCATGGTGAGGCAGTGGCCTTGTGATGATCACTCGTAGCAGTGCACACTGTTGGAAAACCACACTGCTGTTTTCAGCGACTTCAATCACTTAGAAGAGACTGAGCTGAAAACTAAAATCACTAAATAGAAAATGAGTTCTGTTTAGCTCAAACCAGGACAGATGCTGAAGAAATCTGATTTATATTTCAGAATCTTCCAGACACCATTTTCAGACTAGAGATCTATTTTGAAGCCGTGTTACTGGGAATCATTATTACTGGGATGCCACCCTATTTTGCCATGGACAACGCCGAAAACCACAAGGTAAATGCCCAGGCATTGCCTCGTGGACTATACAAGAACTTAAAAAAACCTTGAGGTTTGGGGAAAATCATACGAGGTGTTTTAGATAGCATCTTTTGCCACGTATGGAGGCGAGTGCTGGGTTCATTTTAATGAACATTTAATTAACAGATCAAGGCGTACACGCAGCTGAAGATCGCAGGGCTTTACCCCTCCGCTTACTGGACGGGGCAAGCGGTCGTGGACCTCCCGCTCTTCTTCTCCATCCTGGTCCTGATGATCGGCAGCCTCTTCGCCTTCCACTACGGCGTCTACTTCTACGTGGGCAAGTTCGTCGCTGTGGTGAGTGCTGCGCCTAAAGCAACGTAATCCTGCTTTTCATGGGGGAAAAAAGTACTCTAGGTGATGAGGTTACAGTGACTTTGAACACAGACCAGCCCTGCAATGAATGGCAGCATCTGATTAAATTGAAAAGACTCCAAGTCTTCGTGTCTTATCTATTCGGAGCGGGCTTCCCTGAGATATTGGCTGTAATTGAGAAGAATCACATTTTCCCAGCTGCTTTCCCAGAAGCTCTGAGTTAATCAGGTTTGGGATGTGACCGTGGCGCTGCAGGGCTATTTTTCTGCCAGTGCATCTGCCCTTGGTTTAGTTTCCGCAAAAATGCTGCGAATTAAGGGTGGAATTCCTAATATTTGCCAAAATCTGCGGTCCAATATTTATGGGAGCCTGTATTATTAAAAAAAAATAGTTTAAAGGAAACTAAGTGATGTTCCTGCCTCTCCATGTGCTCTTTTATTTGTCCTTAATAGTACCAAGGTAGCAAAATATATCGAATTAAGTGACAGATGAATCCAGAGTTAAGAAGCACATTAAAGTAATTCCAGTTGATATTTATACAAAAAAATTCCCCTCTGTGTTCTTGCTGTACATTCCCTGAGAAACTTTTCCTATCTCTGCAGATTTTTTGCCTGATTGGTTATGTCCCATCGGTCGTGCTCTTCACTTACGTGGTCTCCTTCACGTTTAAAAAAGTCCAGAATACGAAAGAATTTTGGTCATTTATATTTTCAGTGGTGAGTGACTCTACCTTGAGGTCGGTTACCTGGGAAGCTTGGTTATCTCCGAAGCCACACCAGGCTTTTTTTCCCCAGTTACTTTATTTAACTGTGTTTCCTTAACGCGTGACAAATTTGAAACATTTATCGACGTCTCTGTGTTTCTGCCATATCTTAAATGAGAAAAGCTTTTAAAAATGTGTCTCAAATTGGATAACTTATTCTTAGAGAGTCTGAACTGAATGAAAACCGACTTTTTTCCTCCTTTTCTTTTGTACAGACAGCCTTGCTGTGTACGGTGGTCACCGAAGTGGCCTTTTTTCTGGACTATTACCTGGTAACCACCATCCTGCACTACGTCTTCTCCCTCTTCATTCCTATTTATCCCCTTATTGGCTGTCTGATCTGTTTTATCAAGGTAAGAGGGGACAAGAAATCCTCTCCAGGGCCTCTGTAGACAACAGGGCTTGGGTGGGCATCTTTAACGACAACAAGAGAGCAGATGTAATGTCATCCATAGCCATTTAATGTGTGTTTAAGAGTAGCAACTGCTGGGGAAAAGTCACATTTTTCTTTCTGTAAGCAGTGTTGCAGTTTTAAAGTGAGAAGGAGCAATAAAAATCTTGCTGTTTTAAAGGAAGCAAGTCTTCCATTAAAGATCTAAAGGAAAAACCTGTGGAGCTGAGCAGCCCCAGCAATGGAGATGGGTTGAATGGGAGTCAGTGGCTTTAAACCAGGAGCAGCCCCAAGGGTTTCAGTGGAAGTTTCCTGGTGCAAGCAGGGTCTGTGCAGAGCTCAGAGAGGGCTTGAGCAACGCACCTTAAATTTGAGGTTAAAGTGTGATGTAGAATATACGATTTCTGGTAGGTGATTATTTCTTTGACCATGGTTTTTCCTCAGGTCTCGTGGAAAGGCAAGCGGAAGAACGGAGGATACTACGACCCCTGGGACCGGCTCCTGGTAGCGGTTATAGCTGTAAGCGTGGTTATTTGATTATCTGCCCTATCTGCTGTAGAGAATTGCTCACTCCTGCTGGGAGGCCCCTTCTGTTCGGGCATCTTTATTAATGCAGATTTGAGCTCATGCTGAGCATCGCTGGAGCTGCAGCTCTGCAGCACGAGCGGTAGCAGTAAAAGCTGCTGTGCCCACCAGCCCAACATCTGCTTCCATAGTCTCATTAACAGTGCCAGTATTAATCCTCATTATTATGGGAGGCTGTGCTGATGGAGCAAGAACTCCAGAGCAGGGGACAGTCCCTTCCCTCTCCAAAAATCCCAAATAATCACCATTAAATCTAATCTGGTTGTTCATCCTCTTAATTTCATCTTCTCAAAAAACACCAGCACTTTTGTGGTGGGGAAAAGCAGGAGCTTCTTGTCACTCATTCCACTGTGGCATCACCTCTAGGGTCACCTATAGGGTCCCAGCCTTGGCAGCACTGAGTAACCAGGGCTGTTTTGGTCTGGTTTAGCCCTATTTGCAGTGTGTGCTGTGGCTTTTCCTGCTGCGGTGTTTCGAGCTGAAGAACGGAGGGAGGATGGTGCGGGAGGATCCATTTTTCAGGTGCGTCTCTGTCAAAAAGACTTTTTAAAAAGGAATAGTCCAGATAAGCCGTTTTTTAAAAAGTATGCTGGTGATTAAACTGCAGCATGCAGCGTATAGTTGTGGAGGATGTTGCAGAAAATAAATTACCCGTGGTTATATCCCATCCCAAGAGTCTAAAGAATTTGTTCTTGTAAACTTAGTTGTCTGAAATTTAACCAATAAAGGGCAGAAATAGGTTTTATACTTTCGTTTAAGTTATGTTAGTGCAAAATGAGGGATTCTGTGAGGACATTCCCCATGTAAAACTAGAGGAGCTTCCTTTCCCATTGCATGGCTGCAATGTGATACTCCAAGAAAGAGCTCGGCAATCATTATTTTCTTCCCTTTAGAAAATGCCATACAAAAGCCAAGACCTGGAAGTTCCCGGACATCCCGCGTGATGAGAACGAAGACGAAGACGTGAAGGCGGAGAGGCGGCGAGTCCAAGAAATACTGAGCAACCCCAAAAGCGAGGAGGTAAAGCTGTGAGCCCATGGGCGCTGCTCAAACCCCCAAACTGGGAGCTTTCCCAATGGGACCTGCAGCCACTTCCCTCTTCTCTCCCAGGTGCCAGCAATCCTGGTGAGCAGCTTGCACAAGGAATTTGATGAGAGGAAGGAATTTCTTCTGGGGAGAAAAATAAAGAAAGTGGCAACAAAACACGTCTCTCTCTGCGTAAAGAAAGGTTGGAGTTCAAGTGCTTGCTGTTGAGTCATTTTATTTATATTTATTTACATGGATCCATTTATCTGACCTCCCAGGCAATGTTTTGTGTCTTGTCTGTCCTTCAGGAGAAATATTGGGGTTGTTGGGACCCAACGGAGCTGGGAAAAGCACCTTAATTAATATGCTCGTGGGAGAGATTGAGCCAACCAGTGGGCAGGTACATTGCACGCTATAAATTAAATTAAAAAATCAATCTGTGCTCGATATTTTTATTATTATTGCAGGCATTCCTAAGGTTTTTTTCCTGAAAAAACTGTACAAAACCAGTCCTGCCACTTAGAATGAGTGAGGTCTGTGTGTTTTCCTCGCAGGTTCTGATGGGGGATTATTCCTTTGGGCTGAGCAGCGAGGATGACTCAGTGAAGTTTGTGGGGTACTGTCCTCAGACGAATCCGCTTTGGCCAGACATTACATTGCAGGAGCACTTTGAAATTTATGGGGCTATCAAAGGAATGGATCAGACTGATGTTAAAGAAGTCATAAAACGGTAAGTAGTTCATTTAAGAAATGTTTAAAGCTTTGGCTGTGTTTTTCTTGGGCTCTTTTTTTCCTCCCCTACAATTCCTAAGGCAATATTTTTTTGTTGTTGCTTAAGTTTATGGTTGGATCCTTTCAGTGAATTTGTAGGTTGGGAGATACAGATTCAGCCCCACAACATTTGCCTGGTATTTCTATATGTGTTTTTTTTAATATAATGCTATGACCTTTGGAGAGGCTGCAAGGACAGGATTGGAGCCATTTCTGGGTTGTCACCTCCTCAAGGACAGGAGGTTTTGTATGGAGACACCCAGCTCCGTTTCTGTTTAGTGTTCTGCTTTATTTACACTTTATATACAAACACTTGTAACTGAGCTCTTCAAATGAGCCTGTTTTCATAGTGCATGATGAGGGGGGAGCCGAACCATCATCCCCTCAGCTTTTCACATGCCATCCTCCCCCATCCGCAGCATCGCGAATGCCCTGGATTTAAAGGACCACCTGCAGAAGACAACAAAGAAGCTGGGCGTGGGGCTGAAGCGCAAGGTAGGGGGGGTCTCCTGGTGCCACCGTGTTGGGTGTCCCCTGGCACTGCCGTTTTGGGTGTCCCCAACCACCACCATGTCCTTACCCTTCCCTCTGCCTTCCTCCCAGCTCTGCTTTGCCCTGAGCATGCTGGGCAACCCACGGGTCACGCTGCTGGATGAGCCATCGACCGGGATGGATCCCAAAGCCAAGCAGCACATGTGGTGAGTGCCACTGGGGCCACGCTGCCCATGGTCTTCTTTCATTGTGGGAATTTATCCGGTTTTTTGGTGCATTATCCCTGTTAATGCTAGGGAGAGCCATAGGTGGGGAATCAGCCCGACCTTGGTGCCACACTTCATCTGTGTCCTCTCCCAGAATGGCTTTGAAGATTAAAAGTCTGGAAGTCAAAAGAAACGTTTAAAATAATGTAAGAAGTATGAGATTCGAGTTATCTTTGCGAAAAATTCAGGTGGTAATTGTTGAGTATTGGTCCATAAGATAAAGGGGTTGTGTTTGCCCATCACAGTCCTCTAACCCAGGATTTACTGTTCGGTGCCAGATGTTTTATTTGGGGATTTTTTTGGTTATGTTGTGTAGGCGGGCGATTCGAGCAGCGTTCAAAAACAAGGAGAGAGCTGCCATCCTGACCACTCACTACATGGAAGAGGCGGACGCTGTCTGTGACCGTGTGGCCATCCTGGTGTCCGGGCAGCTCAGGTACCACCAGAGCCCTCCATTTCCCGGGGTGTTATGACAGGGAGGATGGGACAGCTCTCAACTAGAACAGATTTCTTGAAAAATATAGGTAGACAATTTATTTGCACCTTAAACTTGGAGCAAAATTAAACTGCAGAAAGGGTCTGTTAGAAATTTCGGCTGCTTTTTGAGTGCGGTGTAACATTTACAACTCTTGTTTTCTCTCTGTGGTTGGTAGATGTATAGGTACTGTCCAGCACCTGAAGAGTAAGTTTGGCAGAGGATACTTCTTGGAAATGAAATTAAAAGAAACAGCAGATGTACAGCAGGTGGAGTATCTGCAGAGCCAGATCGTGCACATCTTCCCCAACGCGAATCGACAGGAAAGGTGAAGTTTAAACACATACGCAGAAAACACTGATATCAGTACAAGCCCCTGATTTCTCAGCAGCTCCTTGGCACCGAGTAAGGAATGGCGTGGTACTGACATCTACCAAAAATACTGACATGTAGTTTTAAAAGAAAAGAGGAAGGGTTTTTCAAGGCGGTGGCTGCAAGCCCTGCGTGCAGATGTTGGGCACGGGAGGAAGCAAAACTCATTTTCTGCACAGCTTCCTGCTCGGCTGCGGCTTCCCAAAAAATGGGGGCAAAATCAGAGTCAATGGCCTCATCTAGGGATGCTTGAGCGTTTTGTGGGGGCACCTCAAAGTCTGAGAGTGGGTTGGTTGCTTTTCCTCCAGCAGCTTTGAATTTCTACCGTATGAAGTGCATTTGGTTATTCGTATTTTTTGCTTTGAGGAATTTTACCTGAAGCTGGATTTGCTTTGTTTCTTTGTTCCAGTTTCGCTTCTATTTTGGCGTATAAAATCCCTAAAGAAGATGTACAGTCGCTGTCCCATTCTTTTTCCAAGCTGGAAGAAGGTAAATAAAGCACTTGCCACACGTAACATACAGACATCATTTTGTCTCCCTTAACTTCTGCATTTCAGTTCCAAATCCATTTAATTATATTTTTCCATTATTATTGCTGTCCCCAACTCTGCTTCTTGTGAAATGAGGAGTGAGCACTTGTACCAGCTTAAAATGCTTTAAATCCAGTATGTCAGATAACAAAGTATTCCTAAATACACGCTCTCATTAATTCTTTTAACAGTAAAGCACGCCTTTAACATCGAGGAGTACAGCTTTTCTCAGGCAACGCTGGAACAGGTATGTTAAAGCCAATTCTGTTTCATAGACATGACAGGCAAAGGTGTTGCGGGATTTTTAATGGGTTTTTCGCAGCCATTTGGGGTGAATGAAATATAACAAGGGAAAGTGCAGA